TTTTAAAGGCAATATTGAATCTACGGTAAAAGAAACAAATCAGCTTTTGCAACCCAAATTATAGAGCAAGAAAATATTTTTAAAGATGATAACACAGAATTAGTTAAAGAACAAAATTGGAGAAATAAAAACACACCTACATCATCTAAAACTCGCATATATATTGATTCCAGACCCGATTGAAATCTTACTTTAGATAACGCAAAAAATAAATTATCTATTTCGCTGCTACATTAAAAATTTAAAAAACCGACTTCAAAAACGTGCAGATGCCATCACCATATCTTAACCAAATTTATATGGGACCACCCCTGAGGTACCCCCTTACTAACAAAAAAGAATCGTATAAATCGGACAAGGTGGTAAAGCATTATCGCTAAACATACATAAAAAATGAAGAGTTTGAGGATTTTCTCAAGGATCAAATTATTAGATTTTGACCAAATTTATATGGGACCACTTCTAAAGCAGTCCCTTTCTAACAAAAAAAGAATTATTGAAATCGGACACCGTGTTAAAAAATTATCGCTGAACATACATAAAAAATGAAGAGTTTGAGGATTTTCTCATGGACCCAATTATTAGATTTGTACTAAATTTATATGGGACCACCCCTGAAATATCATCTTTCTAACAAAAAAAGAATCATTAAAATCGGACACCGTGTTAAAAAATAATCGCTGAACATACATAAAAAAAAAAAAAATATCGCGACGAATTGATAACCTCCTCCTTTTTTTGAAGTCGGTTAAAAATGGTAGCAAATGCCAACCAGTAATAATTAAAAATGACGGAAAATACATTTTAAAAAATACATGTGCTTTTGACAGTATTGTACAAATTTTGGCAGTTGGTTGTATTAACGAAATTTTTTATGAATACGTCAAAAAATCAAACTCTAACGAACTACAATTTGTAAACTTGTTTATAAAAAACGGGGCGTGTAATCTAATTTATAAAGAAAGATTACAAATAATAAAAAGTATATTTAATTGCACATTGTACAAAAAGAACACTTTTGTAAGGGATATCGCATGTACTGTTTCTTTCTTAATAGAAAAATTATTTATTAATAGTCCCAGTTGCATTGAGTGCATAGAATGCTTAACATGTAAGAAAACTAGCACTACTAAAATGGTATTTGTACCAATTAATTTTAATTATATTCAAAATAATAATTATTTAAATATGCAGGAAGCGATTGAATTTGGAAGATCCTCGAATTTAATGTGTTGTGGTAATAAACCTTTACAAAAAATTGAGTTTAAAGAAGTATTGTTTATAGAATGTTTAAACGAAACTTGTCAATTAAATGCATTTTCTAAATTTTTGAAAGTGTCGGATAAACATTACAAACTAGCAGGAATTGTCACATATTCAGGAAGCGAACGAGTATCTTCTATAGGTCATTTTTCCGCAATTGCATTAAATAATAATAATAAGTATATTGAATATAATGATATTTTAAAAAGCGCAAGAGTAATAAAAAATGAGGAACATAATATTAAACCCCAAGTTTGTATATATGTTTTGTAAATCATTATGATTAATTTTAATTTTTAAAGATTAATTGCCTTGTCCATTTTGTTTATTATTTTTTTAATATTATTTTTGCAATTGTTTTTTAATTTTATAATTAATTCTGTAAATAATGTTATATTTAAGTATTTGTATTTTTATAATTAATTTAAGAAATATTTTTATAAATTTGTGTTGTTTGTGAATTTGTCGTATTAAAATAAATTTTGTTGTATGTATAATAAATATGTGTTTTCATTTAGTACCCGTCTAACGTCTATTTCGTTACAACACTGTTTACACCTTATTTATACAACTTTTAACAACTAACATTCAAGCACTAAGAATTCAAAAACTAAAGTGTGATTGGTGCAAAAAAATTTCGCAGCCAATCACACTCTACAGTTAGAATTCTTAGTGCTTGAATGTTTGTTGTTGAATGTTTGTATGAATGGGGTATTACAGTAGAAAAATTAGACGCTGAACTCAGCCAGTTAGCGCATTATAGCTGCAGTGCAAACTCTCTTATAACTTTTTTTTTCAGTTTCCAAGAGTTATATTTAAGTTAATGTGTTAAATTTTTAGAACAATTTTGTTAACTTTTAGAACAACTAAGAACAACAAAAAAAAGTTAAAAATTTGAAAAAAGGGGGGCTATCAAAAAATTTTGTTTTTTGTTTTTTATAGGTTTTTTTAAAATCTTTGAAATAATTTTCTAGAACAAATTAGTACAGTTCTAGAACAATCCAGAACAACATTAAAAAATTATTTTTTTGAAAAAAGGGGGGGCTACTGCAATTTTTTAATTATTTTAAATTTTAAAGTTAATTTTGGAAAAAAAATATTTTTTGTTTTAGAACAGTTTAGAACAACCGTAGAACAATTTGGAACAACTAAAAAAAAATTAAATTTTAAAAAAAGGGGGGCTAACTTCGTCCACTCCATTAAGCAAGACGTTCTTCAACTGGAAATATACACAGACTCTTCTAAGACAGGATGGGGAGCTTGTACAGAAGGCCAAAGCACTTGTGGACGGTGGAATACTAAACATAAGGAGAAACATATCAACTATTTAGAGCTGCAAGCTGCATATTATGGTATTCGCTGTTTCGCAAACAATATAAAATCATGCAATATACTTTTTAGATTGGATAGCTCCACGGCCATTGCGTACATAAATAAAATGGGAAGTGTTCCGTAAAACTCAACTCGGAAAAATGAGAAGTATCGGCAACGGCGCTTTTAAGCACATCGATCAACCGGTCGATACTAGAGAGAGACGGGAAAAAAGATGATGAGGTCATTCATGGCGTCCCATGCATAAATTTGTCAGATAATTGAAATAATAATAAAGTGCATTTGTAAAGTAGTGAGTGTATTACTAGCTGAGCTGGTCAGCAAAAAAGAACGGCAGATCCATTCTCGAAAGAAAGAGAGGTTTTGCAAAAAGGCAGCACGCCGACAGGAAGTATACAACACCCAAAATTAAATTCACTGTCTAGAGAAATCTGGAAGTGGTGCGAAGCTCGTGGACTGTGGCTATATGCCTCTTACATTCCGTCTAAACAAAATATAGCAGATGCAGGCTCTAGGTTTATTTCTGAAGAAACGGAATGGGAACTAGCAGATACTGCATTCGAAAAAATTGTTACGACATTTGGAAAACCATGTATAGACCTGTTTGCCTCAAACATCAACAGCAAATGCCCAAGGTACATCTCATGGTTCAAAGATCCTCAATCAGAGTCAGTAGATGCTTTTACTACTGTCTGGCCAAATAATTTCTATGCATTCCCTCCATTTGCTCTTATATTGAGAGTATTAAACAAAATAATCACTGATAAAGTTCATGGAATAGTTGGCCTTCTCAGCTTTGGTACCCACTATTTCAAAAAATGGTCATTCAAAAACCTATTATTATGGAACCACATCAAAAATTATTACATTCTCCTTTTAGCAAAACCCACCCCCTTCGGGAGAACCATACCTGATGATGAGGATCTGATCTCCTCGAAACCGGTCGTATTAAATTACTCTTGTGAGATCTTAAGGACCACCCTTGTTTTATTTACCTCTTTTTGTAAAATAGTATATTGAGGATATTGAGTTTTTATATGAGCAAATCACTTTATTACGTTGTGTTACTATAACAGGTAGATTAAATAGGTGAGTTACAAATAGAAGTTTTGCGAGGTTTTGATTTACCTCAACAACTTTTCATGAACGTTGCATTTACGTTGTATAGTAATGTTATTATGTTTCCTTAATGCAACATCGCCGAAAGGCCTGGCAACATTATGTGTCAGCTGGGCGGTGTCTTTTGACACTTACTGTCAGTGATATACAGTATGTAAAGTGATGGGGTTTACTAGACTGGGCCAAAAAAATTGACTATTTTTTTTTTGAAGATATATCGTGAATATCATTCAGAATGATGAAAAAAAAAAAAATTCGTTAAAATTTGAGCCCTTAATTTTAATAGGTCTATCATCGCAATTTTTGATTTTTAGTCATAATTTGATGTTTTACGTTAGAATTGTCAAAACATTAAAGTGAAAAAAATTCCTTTTCACTTATTCTTATATAAAAATAAACTCTCTACAAAAAAGGTCTGATTGAAAATTTTCGTCAGACGAGCCGTTTTCGATTAATTTCGTAACTAATAAATCAATGAATATTTAAAAAAGCCCACGTCGGATTCTTTAATGGAAATTTAATGTTCTACAAAAAAGGTCTCCTAATATTTTTGCCTAAATTTAAATCTTCAAAAGTTATTCATTAGTTACGAAATTATTCAAAAACGGCTCGTCTGACGAAAATTTTCAATCAGACCTTTTTTGTAGAGAATTTAATTTTATATAAGAATACGTGAAAAGGAAGTTTTTTCACTTTAATGTTTTGACAGTTCTAACGTAAACATCAAATTATGACTAAAAATCAAAAATAGCGATGATAAACCTCTTAAACAAATTTTCACGAAATTTTTTTTTCATCATTCTGAATGATATTCTCTATATATCTTTACAAAAAAAATGGTCAATTTTTTTTGACCCAGTCTAGGGTTTACTATAGGGAAAACTTTTTTAATATTAGTTGTAGGAAAAAAGTTATTCTTTATAAAAAGTTTTGCTTCTCTCAAAACCCTTTATAGTGAAAGAAAATTTTACTTGTTGCTTTTAAAATAAGACCAAAAACTTAAAGTAAAATTTTCTTTCATTATAAAGGGTTTTGGTAGAAGCAAAACTTTATAAATATTCATTACTCAACTACTGTATAATTTGACATTTTCTTCCAGTGATAATATAGATGATTATAGTATACATTTTATACATAAATCGTGGGCAAATTAGTTATTGTAAAAGGTTAACAAAATATAATAATTTCTCTCAGACTTTTTTATAAAGCGTTTAGTTTCCTATAACAATATTTATTATCTACCATTTTTTTCTTTTCTAGAATATACTGTGCTTTAAGTGTAAATAATGCCAGCAGTATCAGCAGTTCCCGTTGCCTTGGCAGTTAGTGCGTTAAAGAAATACATCTCACATTTTACGACCGATGAATTACCAGCACATTCTTCGCCAGTATGGAAAGATATTTCTGATGAGTTGCAAGGATTGTGGAAAGTTCCAGCTGTACGAATTATTGTACGAGAGAATAGAAGAGAAATATTAACACTCGCTCGAACAGAATGCGGAATCTTTATACATGATGAAGATAAAGAACACATTTCCCATAATCTAAATGATTCAAGTAATAATCATGATAACTCTGACACTACACACGATCTAAGTGAAAGTGGTAATGGCAATGACAACACGGAGGGGGTGGAAGAGGAGGGATTCAAGAAATTTAAATCTAATAAACGCAATAATGAAAATGATGAGATTGAAAATTTCGAAGTAGCAATCACCAGAGAGCAATGGAATAAAATTAAGTGTGATAAACCATTGGTTTATAAAGGGCGCAAATATTATGGTTTTGAACCTGGAGTATGGACAAACATTGTTTAGCTAGGCTTTTTGGGAACAGTATCGCCTTAAATGTGCATTTATTTTTCGGCGTGGTAAAATCTTTAAAAATGGTAATTATTATGCAGAGATAACTGGTCGTTGTAAAGATCCAACTTGCCAAAATTCTATTTTGGGAGTAATTAAAGATTCTCCTGGAGATAAAGGTCCTGTCGTTATTATTATAAAGTGCCGAGATACAAGATTTTCGAAGCATGCTGATATAAAGCGTCCTTTAAATGGCGAAAGACGAAAGAAAGTTCAAAAAAAATATTACGGACTGGTGTTTTAGCTTGGCGAAGAGAAGAACCTAAAAATATTTTAAAGCCTGGAGACATTGGATCACTCTTCTTATATGACTCAAAGACACTTCACCAAGCAAAGAAAGAAGCTGCAGATAAAGAACTTGGAATTCAACCTGATGATCACAGAGATACTATATTAACCATACGGAAGATGAATGAGGATCCAAAGTTTATGAATTCTATTTTAGCAATCGGTGATACGCCTTTCTATGTGTTTTATGCAACTCCAACTCAATTCCATACTTATGCAGAATATCTACGTATTCATCGGCAATTCTCATCAATTTGCATTGATGCTACTGGTGGTGTAGTAAAAAAATTGAGTGACTGTCGAGATAGAAAAACTGGATACATATTTTTGTATAAAGTTATCATAAATTTTAATGGTACTTCCACTTCAGTTTATCAAATGTTATCTGAGATGCATGATGCCAAATTTATTTCATTTTGGCTTTCCAGATGGCTAGGAAAAGTTAAGCCACTGCGACAGGCAGTTTCTGATGGTTCTCGAGCACTTTTAAATGCAATGTCAGATGCATTCAATGGTAAATCTTTAAAGGAATATATTAATTTCGTTTTTGAAAACTTAGTAATAAATACCAATTTACAACCACAGACTTTTATACGATTGGACACAGCACATTTTATTAATTCAGTGAGCAGATGGAAATCAGTATCGCACAAAATTGTAAAGTCTTTTTTTCTCTATTGTGTAGCACTTATGGTCGATTGTACAAAATTATCTTTACTGGAAGAAATCTTTATTTTAACATTAACCGTATGTAATACAGACTTTGAAGATTCGATTATTTCTATGAGTGATGACGACGACGATAAAATTACTACGGCAGAAGCTAAAAAACGATTAGAAACCTTAATTTCAAATCGAAATATTGATTTAACAGTTATTGATTCCATTAAAATTGATACTGAAAAAAAAACGATATTTTACATAAATTATTATTAAATGATGTTGACAACAATGGATGGTCAAAAGCTCTCCTAACATGGGTTGATAATCTTTATAATAAAACTAATACTTTTATATATGTCGGAAAGAAGCTTAACTGTTACTATATCCCTATACTGCATCTTAATCTTGTTGACAAAATAAAAGAATTTCCAATTTGGACAAACGTATGCACACCTGACACGATGTCACGACCAACATCTTGTTATGTAGAAACTGACTTCAAAGATTTAAAAATAATTTTGAAAAAAACAGAAAAATTGCCAACAACAGTAATCAAATTCTTAAAACTGCATATTAATAGTCTTGTGGGTAGTGCTAAAATACTTTTTTCAAACTTGCAAACTTTCGTGCAAAGTAATAAATGTGATAATGAAGATTTGAAAGAACATAAAAATGAAGATTGGAAAGGGTTAGGAAAGAATGAAAAAGCAAGAGATTACGATTGGATTAATGATTATATAAACTCAGGAGAGGGAAGTGACTTCATCCATTCATCGGAGAATCATAATGATCATAATTATAGTGCGAGCTTCACAGAAGAAAATGGCCAAAATTATATCAGTGTTACTAATTTAATGAATGAAAATTGTTTTCGTTCTATTAACAATGTAAATAATATTTTAAATCTATCACCTTCAACGAGTTATCATAATCAAAATGCTTATGTTACCACCACTGAAACCAATGACGATAATGAAAAATTAGATACATTTGTGCCTAAAAATTATCCTAATCAGATTAATACTACTGAACCCATTAATTTCAATAACTCACCAAAAGTGATAAAAAATAGAAGTAAAATCAATGTAAATACTTCGAAGTTATTAAATTTGAAAGAAGATAATGTCCCTCTATCAGTTTCTGTTAAAACTATGACGGAACGAAAAGCCATTAATAAAAAAATTGGTCGTTATTTTCAAAATTATCCAGAAATCGCCATACAAAATAATTTGGTGAATGAAAAAACTTGCAAAATTATAAAAAAACGCAAAAACTTTTTAGTACGTAACGGTAATTTAAATGGTCCAGTGCAATTCAATGGTACAAAATGGACAGTATTGAATACTTGTCCTTTTGACATAATTATTCAATTAATATTCACTGCTGCGTTAGATAATACTTCTTTTCACAAATATATATTGCAAATATTGAAATTACGATTTTTAAGTTTTTGAGAGAATTTATGAAAAACGGGCCAACAGCAGAACTTTATCAACAACGCCTATCTATTTTAAAACTTATTTATATAAAAAAAAATGATGAACACCACCAAGAAATTACAAATTTAAATGTAATTAATTGTTACGATAATATCAGTAACTTGTGGAATATTTTATTCAAAAATTCACCAAGCATTTATGAAACCACTTATTATTCAGATTGTAAAATATACAGAAAAGATTTTCCGGTTCTTGCTGTGAATCACATGTTCATTGTATATTTTGCAAGAAGGGAAATGCTACACGTGTTGCTGTTCCTAACAAATATTTATTTATTGAATTAGATATACGTGAAAATATTAGTATACAAAGGGGAAAAACTTGTAAACTCGGCGAGATTCCTATTTATTTAAGCTTCTTAAAACTCAAAAATAATGATGGATCTGAAACTAATCTACGTTACAGGTATACTTCTTACTTTTGACAATATTTAACTTTAAGCCATTTTACTAATTCTTTCATTATTTATAAATTTTTAGATTATCTGGAGTAGCACCATATCGAACAGGTCATTATTTTGCTTACTGTCGGCGATTATCGGGAAACTGGCAAATTTACAATGATTGTTCGCCTAAACCGGAATCAGCAACTCTTCATACCGAAGTAGAACCCCACGGAGTCTTTTATATTTTGGACGAAAATAAACAAAAAATACATTCGCTTTTTTGGATGAAAATAGTCCTTTAAAAAGAGTTTTAATCCTGCATGTACTGAGTGATATGATATATCATAAAAAAAAGTAAATTATCGATAGAACCAACTTAATTTATAATTAAACAAATGTTGATAAATAGCTAAAGATTAATAGTAATTTAAAAAATTATAATTTGCAAATAGGGGGCTAAATAGTTAATAAATTTTATTTATTTATTTTGTATTATACATAAACAAAATGAGAAAAAATAATTATTATTTACGAACAATTAAAAACAAACAACTGTTACGGTTCCTTTTTTAATTTATAAATACATTTTTATTTTAATAGCAATGTAAGCAGGCCTTAACGGTTATTAATCTGTAAATAGGTTCCGTATTGGATGGCCTTTTACTTAGTAGGCTGAAGCGGTATCTTACTGAGTTCGCATTCGGCTATCACTTTCTAATAGTCTATTTTCAATTAGTTAGTGACGTAATATTTTCAGTTTAATACTTTGGATCGTATAAGCTGAATAAATAGTTTTGTATAGGGAATATGGGTAATGTTTAGGGTTTTAAGTAAATTATTTAGCCATGCTGGCTTGATGCTTAATGTAGTCAAGACCAAAATAATTCTAGGACTTCAATAGCGAGGTAGAGAAAAAGAAGTGGAACTGTCTTTCTAGTTCGAGCGTTTGAAGAAGGAGGTTGGGTTTTTGGTTGCGCTTGTGAAAGTTGGATATCCAGGAGATTAATATTGGAAAGAAATCTGTTTCCATCGGGAGTTCCCGGATCCATTCTTGGACATTTGTTTTTTTTATTGGTTACAGCGGGAGAACGTACCCTTGATTTTGGTGGGTATAGAATCGTTCATGTGGCCCGTACAACCATACCCTCATGGGGGATTTATAACTCTTCTCAGCGCCACGCCACCTTTTCCGGATTTCAACATCCATTCCTCGTCCAGGGATAACGACCGGAAGAAAGAAGGAACCCGTTCTTCAAGTTTTGTACCGTGTCTGGCTGGAACCCACACGGTACCGCTTGGAACCTTTTTTTAATAGTGGTAGGAAATCAACTTCCAGTTTTCCACATTTTTTACATGGTGTTAGGCCTAGTGGTCCTAGTTTCACTACCATTGTCGCCACAGGAGGTGACCAGTTGGTCTGCAGGGAAGAAGATGAGACGCCGGCAATGAAGAAAGTTAAGTTTTCTATTAATTTTTTCTGATTTATTTTCTTTTTCCTCCCATACAGTTTTGTAACTTAGTATTTATATATTTTTGTGGTTTTAATTATAAAGTGTTATCGCCCGTTATTATAATAATCTCCTAAACCATTGTCATTATTCATTTATTAATATAAGTTTGCTTTGTGCTTTAATGAACCTTTTGTAAGGCCTCATTTATGTAACTTTCAACACAATTAAAATGTTATTGTATATTTAGGTTAATTATTATTATTAAATCAGGGTTATTTGTGGGAAATATGTCTTCAGTTTTAAAAAAGTAGTAATCTTGTTTTACAAGTTACATTATCTAATTTAAATGTTCTTTGTTAGTTTTTAAGTATTGATTCAATTTGGCTATGGGTAGCTCTTTTATTTAATATCGTTGTAAACATTTGTTACAATATTTTTCTTTGCAGACTAGATTGTATAGCTTGCGGAGTCCCCAATTGTTCGAACAATCGGAGCCCGACCGAGTACTCATATATGTAAATAAGTCATCCTGTTGAGGATTTACAATTCAAGAATTAGTTGTATTAAATTGTTTGGGAGGAACCTAGTGTTTTCTTTTGATTCCCAAACCGTACAAAGGTTCATAGAGATCAGTCCAGTGTGAAACCCTGGACCTTAAAAGGTTAGTACTTATTTCTTTTTTTTTTTTTAACTTAATTTTGGACTACATTACCACTGAAATTGACTCTGGTGTATCTGTCTACACTGTTTCGGGGTTATCATTTATAAGGGGTTGCCTATTATCAGAGTTCTGAACAACGAAAGAGTTTGATCCTTATTCTGCTACAAAGGATCTGGCGCGTTATAAATCCCACACCGCCGAAGGGCTAGTCGGTGTATCTGTTACCAGGATTGCCTCTGATAATTGACAATTTGTTTCTTTGGGGGTAAGTAGTTTAGTATTCTTGGGGGTTCATAATTATTTTTAATAAAAAAACGGTAACACAACAAACAAACAAACAAACGATTTATGCTAATCAAAATTCGAAAACTTGCAAAAAAATTGTTGGGGGCTAAATAGAGGATCAATTTTATTTTTTACTTTTATAAATAAACGAAATGAGAACAAAACAATTATTAAGAACAAACAACGAACAAACGATTTATGCTAATAGAAATTCAAAAATTTGCAATAAAAAATTTTTGGGGGGTCAGCTTTAGTGACCCAGTTCGTTGCTAGGTTTTTTATATTTAATATAGAACACTCCAAACCACAGACCTTTTATCGTGCTTTTATTATACGGTTTCTTCAAACTCTAAGATTATTTGATAATGGGGCGCAAACTAAGAAAGGCGGCTCATTACCAGTTCGAATTTAACCAAATAGAAAACAAGTCTATTTGTAAAATATGCAAAGAAGTTATGAAGGTAAGAATAAAATTACTATTGAACTGCATCTCAATTTAGTGAACTGCAGGGTTGAATTATTAGTTATTAAGTATTAGTGATTTTACTATATTGCATATATAGTTTTTTATAATGACATTTATTTTATGCAGGGTCACCACGGAACGAATTTAAAAAAACATTTAATGAGACACCATCGTTTCACTGAAGACCAATTTATTACATAATCAAAAAAATCTGATCAGCCATCTGTGAAAAAAATAAATACCATAAAAGTAAACATGTCAAAGCAACATTTAATTAATGATTGTGTTGAACTTGTAACTGTTAATGGTAGGTCTTTTAATCTGCTAGCTGATTCTGGTTTTAAAAAAATATTGGATCCTATTAAGTTGGCGTTAACAAATAAAACAAAAGATAAAGAATTTTCTTTATCACCAGAATCAATTCAAAAATATATTTCATTAGAAGCTAATGAACTGAAACAAAAAATTATGGAAGAAATCAAAACTTGTATGGTTTCAATAAAAGTTGATGGTGTTACGAGATTGGACCGTGCATTCCTGGGTATAAATATTCAGTATGTAAAAAATGGTCAGATTGTTTTAAGAACCTTAGCCTTAAAAGAAATAAGAAGCCAGCATACAGGTAACAAAAATTATATTTTTGGCATATACATATATATCAGCATTTTTGTAAATTTGTAGGACAACATTTGAAGAATATCATCATGGATTTATGTAATAGTTTCGAAATTGATGAAAATTAAATATATACTATAACAACAGATAATGGTTCCAATTTATTAAAAGCTATAAAAGTTATAGCTTCAGAAAATGGTGATTATGAAGTTATTGAAATTAATGATATAGAGTTTAAATCAGACGAAGATTGGGGTGAAAATTTAGGAAACATTGAAGTAATTGTTGAAGATGACCCAGCTGAATTGAATTTTAGCAGTGGCCGTGATAACCTTTTTCAATCATATCATGATTTAAATAATGAAGATGACTCTACATCAAGGAAATATAATTTAAATATAACAGGTATAAACATCATTTTTTGTTGGTTATTTCTTAATTTTAATATGTCTTGATTCTATTGAAGGTATGAGGTGTGCTGCACATACCTTACAGTTAGCTGTTGAAGATGCATTGACTGGGGACAAAAAGTTGGAAAAGTGATTCTGCAAGCGCGTCAAGTTATGAAAATATTAAGAACACAAACATTTTTATACATGTTGCGAAAGCAAAAATTGAAAAACCCATAATTGACTGTCAAACTCGTTGGGGGTCAACATTCGATATGTTGAAAAGATTAATGGAACTAAAAGATTTCTGCGTGGAGATGGAAATAACAAATGTGAATAAATTTTAAAATATATCCAAGTCGAATTGGGACATGAAAAATCACATTTTTGGAAATTGGAAATCTCATCTGACTTTTGAGTAAAAAAAAAATGTGATTTTTCAGGTGGCTGTAGATGTTTATTATCCAGATTAGACATCAAATGTGATCCATCGTTAAAATCAGCTCATTGAGAGGATTATAAAAATGTAAAAATATACAGGGTATCCCTTCTAAAAATTTTATTATTTGTATCCCTTGAAATCTGCACGCTACTGTACATTTGATAGCATTTTAACAAAAAACGTTATAACCACTCAACTTTTATTTGTGACTGTTTCTATAGGCAATAATAACGATAATAAGGGGTGGGTAATTTATAATGTATAACCCTGTACAATCTGACAGGATAAGATTGACTTGTAAAGGCCAAATGCCCAATAGTATGAACGTATTTAAGGCCTATTAGAAAGACAATATATATTATGCAATTATATATTCCGTACAGTTTTGAAATGAAAAACAAAAATTTATTTTGAACTTTTTTTAAATAATTATTCAAATTATTTTGGGGCTTCTTTCTTTTGATTCCCTTTTTATTATTTTCTTTTGGATCATTTTTTGTTGTCTCATTTATGATTCCTTCTTCAGCATCAACATCAATTTTCTGTATTTCAAACCTAAAAAACAATGATGAAACTATTTTCTTTAAGATTTACAATGATTATACATACAAAGCCTTTTCTTCCTTGTTTCCCAAAATTCTGTTGGGTCTTATGAATAACTGTTCCTCTAAAATTTTTTCTTTAATATTAGATCGTGTTGGGGGTAATAAAAATTTAAGGCCAGAAAATAGCCTTTCAACACTTACTTGCGTTGCTGGCACCCCTAATAAGACTTGTGCAAGGAAGTATAGTTCAAGTGAAACTTCTTTTCTTTTCTCCCAAAATTCAAAAATGGTAGAATTATTTGCTAAGTGTACTCGTCTTTGCTCTACTGCATATGAATTGAGAATATTGTCAATTTTTTTTGAAAACATAAGTGAAGAAGACGTACTGCTTGCTTTCCCTTGTTTCACATTAAATTCAGATTCCTTCTTCCTTAGAAAGCTTTCCATGTCATCATTAGAAATCAGTGATCCATCTGACCCATTCTCCATATCAGAAGTATTTTCCAATTCTAAATAATTGATCTCTTTTAAAGCCAGTAACCGGGCCCATAACAATTTTAAATGTTTTTTTGTTTTCTCAATTTCCTCTTCATTTAACACAATTTTAAATTCCAGCAAGGACAACCTCGTTATTTAATGACATAGCTTCTCTCTTTATCATACTATCTATGATTTTTCTGGCAAAATCAAAACCAACTTTTTCTGTTGCAAGTTTGCATTCTTTCCAGTAACAGTAAAATGATCCTATAGTTAACTGTTCATACTGCAGTTTACGTGTGCACTTTCGAGCTGGTTCAAGAGCAGCAATAATTTTTGTTATTTTGTCCCAATTCGACTTGGATATATTTTAAAATTTATTCACATTTGTTATTTCCATCTCCACGCAGAAATCTTTTAGTTCCATTAATCTTTTCAACATATCGAATGTTGACCCCCAACGAGTTTGACAGTCAATTATGGGTTTTTTCAATTTTTGCTTTCGCAACATGTATAAAAATGTTTGTGTTCTTAATATTTTCATAACTTGACGCGCTTGCAGAATCACTTTTTCAACTTTTTGTCCCCAGTCAATGCATCTTCAACAGCTAACTGTAAGGTATGTGCAGCACACCTCATACCTTCAATAGAATCAAGACATATTAAAATTAAGAAATTACAAGCAGGACCATCCGCGAAGACATATTACTCCTTGTCAAGTTCACTAGATGCAACTAACTCATATATACATCGATATGATGAGACACGTAAAGATTCTACAGCTGCGGAAGTAGGAGAGTTCCTCGTGTTGCCGCAGCGCCAGAACGAATAGCGCCTATCAACTTGTACGTTATTATTAATAAAATATTTTATAAATTTCGCTTTTTGAGTTTGTTGTTACCTTAGCTTAAGTTTTTCTATTTGTATATTTGTTTTGAAATAGAAGCAACTTAATGTAAATACAGATAGTAAATATATATATATATATATGACAATCTAAAAAAACTTTTTGAAACATATAAATTTGAACCGTTTCAAGTATACAATGTCGATGAAACCGCTTTAACAACAGTGCAGAATCCTGGAACAGTTTTAGCTACCAAGGGTCAAAAGCAGGTGGGTCAGATCACTTCCGGAGAAAGAGGAACTCTTGTTACCATGGTAGGCACTATAAATGCAGGAGGTAATACAATACCCCCACTTCTAATTTTTCCCAGAAAATATTTTAAGGAACGCATGATAAAGAACGCTCCTCCTGGTACCATAGGATCTGCTTCTCCCTCTGGATGGATCACCTCGGAAATATTTGTAGAGTGGTTTCGGCATTTTATTCGTCATGCTAAGCCTTCTGCTGGTAGTCCAATCCTATTGCTCATGGATAATCACGAGAGCCATGTTTCTTTAGCGATTATTGAGATGGCAAGAAAAAACTACGTCAAGTTACTAACTCTTCCTCCACATACTAGCCATAAGCTACAGCCGCTTGACAAAAGCGTTTATGGCCCCCTAAAGCGGTATTATAATAATCATTGCCAGTCTTGGTTATTTAATAATGTCGGGAAAAGAATAACAATTTATGACATTGCAGAAATATTAGGCTTAGCATATCCACTGGCCTTTTGCACGAGAAATTGCATTTCTGGCTTTAGAGATACCGGAATTTTTCCATTTAATGACACAATATTCAGTGAACACGACTTTTTGGCCTCCAAGCCAACTGACATCCCAGACAATGATTTGACTCAACCAAGCACAAGCAAGGACCCGCTAGTCAGAAATCTTCCAGAGTTTGATGATCCGAATATAACGGCAGAATCGACCACATATCAAGTACATCAAACACCAGAGAAATCTTTTGTATCTCCAGAACAGTTGTTGCCCTAGCCACAAGTTAAAGAAAAGGAAAAAAATGTAAACCGAAGAGAGAGAAAATCCACAGAAATATTAACAGATACGCCAGTATATGAGAGAATTAAAGCTAAAAGGCAGGTAAAAGAAAAGAAAATACGAACAAAAAACATCTCAAGTCAAACGGAAGTATTTTGGCGAAGACTTGGACTTAACCGTTACAAAAACAGTCAAGCGACAGGCAAGAACTGAATTATCTGACTATGACTCGAGTGACAGTGATATGAGTTTATCTGATGTGGTAAATTCAGATGATGTTGATTACTGTAAACTAAAGGACAGCGATAAAATGAAAGAAATTACCGAAATAGATGTTAATTCATTTGTTTTGGTAAAATTTGCGACAAAAAAGACAGTCAAATATTATGTTGGAAAGGTGATAAGATTAGCTGATGAGGGAGAATATGAAATACATTTTTTGAGAAGGCATGGCAAACATTTCGTATTTCCAGACGTAGAAGACATAAGTAGTGTTCCTCTAGAAGATATAGAACTGCACTTACCCGACCCATACCTTGCAGGTGGTACGGCTAGAGCAAGCAATACATTTATCTTTTCAATAGATTTGTCCTCATATATTATTAACTAGTTGTTTTTAGTTCATTTTGTTTATTTTTCATATGTTGTGCTCATAATTTAATGTTACTTTCAATTAGTAAAGTATTTTCGTTTTGTTTGTGTATTCTTCAATATAGTCACCTTGCATTAAATTTAAAAATAAAGATAATAAGTAGTGGCCACTGTCTACTTGCTACATGGCCACTGTATCCGACAAAGCGGCCACGGTGGCCACCTTGTAAGGTTTTAAATAACTATATTTTTCTGGGACAATAAAACAGATGTAGTTATTATACTTGTTGAAAATAGTCTACAAAATAGTACTAAATCCTATGACGTTGAATTTATTATTATTCAATTAAAAGTTTGGTCGAGTTATAGTAAAATATGAAATGGTGGCCACTGTTGCCGGACCTCCCCTAATATTTTTGTTTGGTTCTATAATCAGCTTAAAATAGGGTGGTGGTAAAAAAAATGGGGTGGTGGTAAAAAACGGAGAGGGGGAAAATTCGAAATATTTGGAAAAAAGGGAAATATATTAATTTTAGGATTTTTAAGTAAGCAGATTTTAATTTTATGCTTTATTTTATATTTTTATGAAAATTAAAAAGGGTGGTAAAGCGGGAGGGGGTAAAATAAAAAAATAAAATCGGTTAAATACGTTTTTTTTTACATGAAAATATTTTTTTTTTAATAATAAAATAAACAATTTAAAAATTTACCTTTACCTCTAGATGAAGGGGGCGGGGGGATTAAATTTAAAATATGATGTTTTATATAATAATAATAATAATAATAATAATAATAGTTTATTTTGCATTTACGGTGTACAATAGAATTACATCAATAAAAAAAAAATAATTACGCAAATACAATCTATATATACAAATATATCGTTTTCTATATAGAGTTTTGGGGTTAAAGAACCCAATCTTACCGTTAGTTTTTTGATATAACATTATTTATTAATTTAAAAAAGTAAAAGTGATGTGGAAGTATTGATTCAACTTGCAGCGGTTTTTGTAACAGGTGTACATATATTTTTAAGATGTGTTTTAGTGTTTAATTCGTTATTTAATTTTTAATATGGATTTTGGGATAGAAATTCCATTTTGATTTCTTAAATAAGCCAAATACAGTTAGGATTATTACAAGACCTTAAAAAAAGGAAACGGAACATATGGTTAATAGTTATTGTCCAAATTGTCCAAGGCCGTCAGGCCGAGTTGGACAATACGTCGAGTGCAATAAACACTTTTTGCACGAGTTGCATGCAATATTTTTTCTACGTTCATGCAAAAACCAAAAAAATGTTTTATAGAACTGCAGTTGTATTATCCAAATCATAGTACCTTTGTTTAAGGCATTTATTTACGTAAGTGTTTATAATTTGTAATGACATTTTTAATAAAATACATTTTTTTAATAATTAATTTATTAAA